GTTTGATTCATTGCCACTGTTGCGAAACATCCTCAAAACATCAAAAAATTTTCTGAACCCTATTGAAGTCTATAGGAGGCAAATTTTGATGTTCAACTCGTTCCTTTTGTGGGGCTAATAAACAAAGAGAATCAAAAACAGAGATTTAGAAGATGTTGGACATGGTGGCGACCAAAGCGGTGATTAATTAAAAAAAAAAATGCCCATGGGGAGGGGGCTTTATCATGGTGCTTTGAGGAAAACAATAAAGATGTAATCCTTTAAATTACAGGTTTGGGGGATATGTTAAAGCACCGTGTTACAGAACAGAATGATTTTTACAAACAGCCTCAGAGACAGCATATGCTAGGAGCACATATTTGGCTGCAGAATTGTTTTATATTTTAGAATTAACTTACATACAGCAGCAGCTCAGTCTAATTCATTCCATTGATAAAAATAGACTTTTATTCCAGGTAGATTTATCAGTGGCACATGGGTAGATGAGGACAATTATTCTCCAACTGCTCCCCCACCCCTGTATAATGCCCCTCTTCTATTTATTTTTATTTATTTAATTTGAAAAATAACACCTTCATTAATAAAATGTTTTAAATATAAGAGACAGGACAAAATGCTTCAGATTTAGAGAAACATGGTAGTTTTCCTACAATAAAAATGATAGCTTTGCAGCAGAGACATAGCTACAGAAATCACATTTGCTGCAACTACAATCCATAAATTGCTTGTGTCACTATCAGTCCCACTTTGTAGTGTATTTCACCACACAAATCGTTGTTCAATCCTAATAAACCATGTAACAGAGTCCCATATAGATTCCAGGGCTTCACTCTCCAGTGAGTGGCTCTTCCACCCAATGATCCAGAAAACGTACCAGACTCTAAGACCCTTAATGTTAAATGGGTCATTGTGCTCTTCCCTATATAAATCCCCAGGAACACTCAATTATAAGGTTTTCATATACGAGGTGTGGCAATTTAATTCCAAGAATGGCTGTTTTTGTGCAGGAGTGTTTTCATTGTGGAGAATCCACTTGACAGGCCAGAGTTCAGGTATTCTCCTCAGTATCCTATAACCTTTTCAGAAATTCCAAGTGACAATGTTGGTTGACCTTTGTACCATGTTCTATGAACTCATAGTGAACTATCCCCTTTTGAAAAAAAACCAGCATAAGCATACAAAGGTTGGCACTCCGTCTACATTTGCATCTGCATTTTTGGCTCTCCACTTCCTGGGTCATTGTGAACATCTTCCCACTTCTCCTTAAACCACCTAGGCCATTCAAAAACACTTGATGTCTTCATGGAATGTTCACCATAATCAGAGTTAAAGTTTCACTTACACTTTTGCCAATTTTCACATAAGATTTTATATTAATCCACTGCTCCAGATTCCTATCACTAATTATCTGCCAACAGCACAATGGACACACGTGCTATTTCTTCTTACTACTACTGGTCTGCAACCACGGGGAGAGCATACCATGTCAGAGCACTCATGACTGCAAATGGCCAAATGACTCACTACTATATTGCTATACAGCAGAAATTTCAAGAATCAAATTGTCACATCTCATATATAAAACCAGGAGGAGACAAAATATCCATAGTGTAAAACCTTTTATTGTAAAATCCACATTAAAAATATTATAAAGCTCACATTGGTCAGTGCCAGTCCCAGCACAAAGGTATAGCAAGCAAGCAAGCATGCTCCACCAGCATTCCTCACCTTGTGTGAGCAGACATTCTGTGCTGGATGACATCACTTATTTGGACCCTCCCTATGCGTTTCGTCACTCTGATGAGACACAGCTACTAAAAAAATTCTTAGAGAAATGACAACAGTGAAAGGAACATATCTCAAATTTAGGGACACAGGGCAATAGATTTTGTGCAAACGTAGAGGAGAAGGAGTAGAGGTGACAGGAGCTGGCCACAAATTCAATTTTCCAATGTTCAATAACAAAACTCCAAAGGGACATTGTCAAGCTCAGCCAATTCTATTGGTGGAGCCACAGTTTGCTGCAATTTTGATGATTATGATTTTCCAGCTTAGATACTTTTGGTGACCTGGGGCAGCAATTTAAAAGGGAAACTATAACCCTCGGTTCACATCTGTGCGGGTGGTGCTGCTGCGAATCTGCACGAAAATCTGTGCAGTCACACCACCCGCACAGAGAAATGTGGACCCGCGGGTGGGTGCTATTAGTTCTAATGACACACCGCCTACACTGGAAAACGCAACCATACTGCAGGCTTACAATCTAGGAGGGAGGGGTTAGTGGTACAGGAGGAGATAGCTGTGGGGGATGGAGTGATAGGAAGAGTGTAGGAGGTCGGCAAATTAGCAGGGGGTAGGGTAGGCTTCCCTGAAGAGGTGGGTTTTCAGGGTGCGCCTAAAGGAGAGGAGAGTAGGTGATAGTCTGATGGCTTGGGGTAGGGAGTTCCAGAGGATGGGTGACACCCTGGAGAAATCCTGGAGGCGGGGATGGGAGGAGGAGACCAGGGAACTAGAGAGAAGAAGGTCTTGTGAGGAGCGGAGTGTGCGTGTTGGGTGGTACTTGGATATTAGGTTGGTGATGTAGTTCGGGGCAGTATGGTGGACAGCTTTGTATGTCAGTGTTAGGATTTTGAATTTGATCCGTCGCGCAATTGGAAGCCAGTGGAGGGATTGGCAGAGGGGGGTGGCGGAAACGGAGCGGTTGGTAAGGTGAATGAGTCTGGCTGCCATATTCAGGATCTACTGAAGTGGGGATAGCCTGTGGCGAGGCAGACCAGTGAGGATCAGATCAGTTTATCAGTTGCTTCATGATGTCCCTGTGGTTTGCAGACTATGAGATTCCTATACCTCATTACCTGTAATCTATAGAGCTACTATACTGGACTAAGACTAAGCCTGGGCTTAAACTCATGTTAGTCGGGAACTTTATCTATGTTTGGGCTTAGCCTTTTACACTGGATTCGTGCATTATTTGTCATCTTTGATGTGTACATTTAGCCCTATCAGGTGCGTGTATGCATGTGGTTAGGTGCCTGTTTATGTCTTTTTAATTGTGCTGGAGGGTAGAATGTTTTTGATTTTGTTTTGCATTTGTATCATTTATTATAATTATTTTTCAATAAAGGATTTTTTTGTTTATAAATATGTTTTAACCCCCTGTGGATTTACACCATGTAGGCCCTAATTGTCCTGATCTCTTGACTACAGCCCTTTCTTTCTGTGGGCGGTTTGTCTGTTTAAGATTTTTTGATCAGTGAGTTACGCTGATAAGGTACAGCAAGTGGGTACCAGAGGGGTGGGTTCCTTTGGACCCATTAGGCCCCTTTCACACGAGCGGACCAATGGGGTTCGCCTGTCTGTTTTTCAGGCGGACCCGATCGATCCATCCATAGACTTCTGTTTCAATATTTTTATTAAGAAAGTTTTGTTTTATGAACACAACAAGCTCAATATACGCCCACGCAGGAGCCGAGCATAACAATAACTCAGGAATAGGTACATCCTGCTGACTTGTATTAGCCAAATAATAAAATGTCCAATAACAGCAAGGAAGGACGGTAAACAGCCAAACCAAATATTATCGGCAGTAGTCCAACAAAATACCGTAAAGAGAAGTGGAAAGAAAAAAGGTTAGAAGAAATAAAAAAAAAGGAATCAGAAAGAAAAAATAGAGGAAAGGGAGACTAGAAAAGTCATAGATCTAGGGATAGCACAGGCAGCAATTATAAGAGGTCATAACTAGTTAGGGGCAGGGATGGCAAGGAATATCGTATCCAAGGTTCCCAAACCTTAAGAAATCTCAGATGAGAATCATGAAGAATGCTAGACATCTGTTCTATCCATAGATTTCTATGGACCGACGGGTGTCAGGGGACAATAGTTCTCTAACACCCGCTGGCATCCGATCCGATCCTGTACATCTAAAAATTAGATTGGAACAGGCCTTTCACTGGGCTGGTTCCTTCCCTGCTGCTCAGGAAGTCCTCCCCAGGAGACTTTAGGCAGTGGGAGATCCTCCTGTCCAGCAACCAGCCTGTAGGTGGGCTCTCTTCCCTGGGACCCCCTTCCAGGCTCCACACTCCAGTGTTCCTCTCAGTCCATCTTCCACCCTAATCCCCTCTCTTCCCAGGCTCTTCATATTTGAGGGTGGCCTGGTCACCATGTCCAGCCTCCTGCTAGGGGATTGCCCAATGTCCCTCAAACATACAGATGTGTGCCTCCTCCCCTGTTCCAGAAAGTTCTTAAGTATCCGGAAGCCCTGACCTGTAGAACCACCCAGCATGTCCTGAGATGAACTCCTGCCTCACTTCCAGGCTGACTCATCCCAGGATGCTGCTCAGCCTCTAAAAAAAAAAAGCAACATACTCTATCTAGCTAAGCTAAAGGACATTACAGGTCAATATATTTATTCTAGAATCAGTAAGGCACCATTTACATAGGGAGTGGTAAAAACAGACACTTGAGCTGGGGTTTTACCACCCATCTGAAGTCCACAATACAGCCAAATAGGGCTGTTCACATACTTAGCTCTTTGTATTGCACCTGCAGCAAATTTAACTTGGCATGTCAAGTTGATAGGCAGCACCACCTGTCAAACTGCAATTCAGGTCAAAATAGACACCAAACACTTGAGGTTGTAGCGCATTAGTCCCATTGTAAAACACTGTTTGGAAAAACTTTTTTAAAAAAACAAGTATTCGCGAGGCAGAAGAATTGCCTCCTGAACGCCTGACAGCGGATGCTTAGTGGGACACTATAAAGCAATTGACTGTGGATCACTTTTCTGAGAATGGGCTAGTGTAAACCAAGCCTTAAAGTGTTACTTAACCCAGGACCCTGCATGCACTATATCTGGTCTCCCACAGTACACAGAACATGGAAATACAATTATTTTAGTAAATATAAACTACTAAATACCTTTTCTCATCAGCATTTAGAGTAGTCTTGTGACTTCTATCAGTGTCCAGCTAAAGCTAAAGCTTGTAGGAAGAGTTTTCTTTCTGCTCTATAAGGATGGAATTCCCCTGACCTCTGTCTGACCAGTGCTGTTTGGTCCTGTGCTGATCACATGCACTCTCCCAAGAAAAAAAAAAAAAACCTCTCTAGCAATACACACCAAACTGAGCATGTGCATGCCAACGGTTCAGTCTGGAGGTAAGTGGTGGTCGCTTGAAGAAAGGATCAAACAGCCTTTTACACAATGCAGAGGATTAACCCCTTAGGTTCCACAATGAGTATACCAAGCATTATGCAAAGCACTACGCCCTAAACTGATCATGTGCAGAATGGCTACCGTTCAGTCTGTCTTATCAGGAGATAAAAAAGGGAGGAACAGAGCAATCAGGATCAAACATCCTTTTTTACACAATGCAGAGGATTAACCCCTTCGGTTCCACAGTGAGTATAACAAGAATGCTTTACTACATATACAGACTGATTTTACTGTTGTGGGTTTAGTAAAACATTAAAGTGATATTAAAGGCAGGTTTATTCTACATTTTTAAATAACAAAGGTGTTATACTTACCAGCTCTGTGCCACGGTTTTGCACAGGGCAACCCCGATTCCCTCCACCGGTGCTACAACCACTTTAAATAATAAGATAAGTCTTTGGAAAGCACAATGCCAGCCTTGGTGTCAGTAGATGCATAATGACAATACTTGAAGAAACATAATACCAGCCTCAAATGTTTGGGAAGATGTGTCTATTGAAGCCTGAAATTGCAAATATTTCAGACTGAAGCAAAGTAATCCTAGCTCTCCTATCCTATCCTATTATGAAGAGCAGAGAAATGTCTGCTGCCACCAGTGACTGCTGGAATAGTTTTAAGCTATTCTGTTTTCTAAAACAAAGAGTTAAAACATTTGATGCACACCTTTCCAGTGGGTGGCAAGGCCTGACACTGCTCTCCTGAAAAGCTGCAGCCTCTGGTAGACTTCAGCATCCAACACTTCTAGAAATGTTGGATTCCAGCATGGCCCTCCTTTGTGTCCGCATTGGTGACACAAGGGCCAGCGGGTGGAACAATGCACAGCATGGGGGGTGGCTAGAAATCCAGAACAAAAAGAAGCACGGATATGCTGAAGATTTTTCAGCCAACAAAACTCTGGCTGCCGTTATACATGAAGGAAGATTGCTGCACCTCTGAAAAGAGAGACCTGCATCTGAAAAGAGGCATTTAACAGACAGAATGTTGCCTCCTATAAATTGTGACATCTACAGGTCGGAGGTATGAACACCACAAAGTGCAACAATTATCACAGCAGGACAAGAGCTCTCATTAGAAATTTGGAGTCCCCTGAGTTTGATCAGCTGGGCACCTTTTGGGGTGTGGGAGATCTACTTTGCTTGGGGGCACCCAAGCTGGCTGACTCCCCAGCCGCAGCTGCAGGCATCATTCCCATATCAAAATTTTTGCCAAGAAATGCTGAATAAGTTAAAAGTAATCCGAGCAACTAAATAGCCGCTGGCTTACTTTCACCCCTCTCTCACTGCCTTCTGGTGCCTTCCTGGGCTCTCCCAAAAGTTTTAAAATTACCAGCAAATGACTGACAACTTCTTTGTTAAAAAGAAACAAAAAAAAAAACAGACACCTCCAATGGTCTACTATTTATTTTGGGGGACCTTTGGAGGGGTTTTAGTTATTTAGTTAGTAGTGATGGGCTGAACACCCCCCTGTTCAGTTTGCGGCCAACATTCGAATCTAATGAGACTATAGAGATGACGAGAACTGGATTTTGTCACTTCTAGTTTCTAATACAAAATATGCAACATACACAATTTTTTCTATAAGGTATTTGCTTAAAAAAACATGTTTCTAAGCAATTTTCTAGCAAAAAAAAAAAAAAGACGATTTTTACATATAGTTACATAGTTAGTCTGGCTGAAAAAAGACAAAAGTCCATCCAGTTCAACCATAAAAAAAGTTATAATCCTATACCCACAGTTGATCCAGAGGAAAGCAAAAAAACCCCAGCAAAGCATGATCCAATTTGCTCCTGCATGGAAAAAAAATTCCTTCCTGATCGGGCAATCGGATATTCCCTGAATCAACTTTACCTATAAATGTATGGGAATAACTAAATAAATAAATATGGGAAAGAAATGTCAGAATTGGCCCAGTAGGGAAGTAGTTAGGAAAAATTATATTAGCACATGACTTTGTTTACAAACAAGCCCCAAGCCAACAATCTCAGCTGTCATTGTGACTCACAGGGAGAGAACCATTGAATGGAGGAGCTGGGTGGAAAGTGCGGACATAGCTGGGCACTCTTTATGTGAGCCTGTGACAACTCTCTTTTACTGGAAGATTAATCTCCATTGCACTGGAAGAACGTGAGGGTAAGCATTAAAGTAGCTGCCTCAATGTGTCTTTTATCTGCCGTCAATTTTAATTCCGAAAAAAAAAAAATATATATATATATACCGGTATATATACACACATATATATATTATCAACCTGAAAGTGTCTTTCCAAATGTTTTTTTATTTTCAGGCCTCGTTTCACCTCTTTGGTGATCCTAAAAATGGGGTATTTAGTGTAATCAACATTCACATGTAATTAGCATTACTAGATGATCCATGAGGAATGTATATAACTAGATTCAGCACTGCATTGCATTTCCACAGTAATTCAGTCTGTGAGATTATTTCCAGGATTGGATATCACCCGCTCTGAAGGCAAACGCTATTCCTCCTTCATGTCAGCCTCTGCACACAAAGCGTCTTCTGCTTCCTGATGCTGCTGAAGTCCCCGTAAGATCTGACTAGTTGAAAGAATCAGGTCACAGAAGTTTAATGGAACGGCAAGATTATTAGCTTTAAAAGCCAGCGTTTGATTATTGCGTGCACATAGCTGTGTTGCTCCCTAGTATTACTGAGAGCCATTAAGTATGTTTACAAACAATCAGTAATGAGATATGGGCTGGGTGGAAGTGTAATGAAGTAAGCATTTCCCTTTCATTTCTGTTTTTCATGAAAAAAATAAAAGTTGAGATTTCCAGTAAGCTTAATAACAGTGTTCTGCTTCAAATGAAGGTTATGCATGGACATACCACCTTAGACTTAGCTTGTCCAGGAAGTTTGGTCACCTGCTGACTTGACAGCATCCACAGGCAGCTTAAAGTGTTACTAAACCCAGGACCCTGCATCCACTCTGTCTGGTCTCCCACAGTACACAGAACATGGAAGTGCAATTATTTTAGATAATATAAACTGCTAAATACCTTTTCTCATCAGCAGTTAGGGCAGTCTTGTGGCTTCTATCAGTGTCCAACAGAGCACTGGTTAAAGCTTGTAGGAGCAGTTTTCTTTCTGCTGTAGGAAGATGCAAAACCCCTGACCTCTGTCTGGACAGTGCTGATTGGCCCTGTGCAGATTACATGCATTCTCCCTAGAAAAAAAAACCTCTCTAGCAATACACACCAAACTGAGCATGTGCATGCCAACGGTTCAGTCTGGAGGTAAGTGGTGGTCACTTGAAGAAAGGATCAAACAGCCTTTTACACAATGCAGAGGATTAACCCCTTAGGTTCCACAATGAGTATAACAAGCATTATGCATAGCAATACGCACTAAACTGAGAATGGCTACGGTTCAGTCTGTCTTATCAGGAGATAAGACGTGGACATTTGAACAAGAGCAGGAGCAGAGAAGTCAGGATCAAACGGCCTTTTTACACAATGCAGAGAATTAACCCCTTACGTTCCACAATGAGTATAAACAAGCAGTTTAGTATCACTTTAACCACTTGCCCGCCAGAGGATTTACCCCTCTTCCTGACCAGACTATTTTTTGAGATACGGCCCTTCGTTATTTTAACTGACAAGTGCGCGGTAAATGCAATGCTGCACCAAAATGACATTTACGTTATTATTATTATAGAGGATTTATATAGCGCCAACAGTGTGCGCAGCGCTTTACAATATAAGGGAGACAGTACAATTACAATACATTTCAGTACAGAAGGAATGTGAGGGCCTACGTTCTTTTTTTCCCACTTTCTTTTGGTGGTATTTGATCACCTGTGTGTTTTTTATTTTTTGCGCTATAAACAAAAAAGACCGACAATTTTTTTAAAAAAACTATGTTTTGGTCTTTTTGCTATTAAACATGTCCAGTAAAAAAATTTAAAAAATCAAATTTCATCATAAATTTAGGCAAAATGTCTTTGCTAAAAAAAAAAAATCTTAATACATTTAAATTAATTGGTTTACGTGAAAGTTATAGCGTTTACAAATGGCGGTATATATACTGGAATTTTTTTTTTTACTAGTAATGGTGGCAATCAACTTATAGAGGGACTGCGGTGAGCATTCTGACACTGGGGGGAACTGACTTGGTGTCACTGACATCCCCAGTGACACCAAAACAATGATCAGTGCTAAAAAACAGCACTAACTCTGTACTAGTGGCACTGGGCAGGAAGGGGTTAACATGGGGGGTGATCAAAGGGTTAACTGTGTGCTGTTTTACTATATGGGCTGTCTGTGCTTTACACTGTAAATGCGCTGCTGTATATGGCTCTGCTATGCAGAGCCATACAAATCAGTGTCCCGGAACTGACAAGGGAGAGATCCGTATTGTTTACATATTACAGTAATAATCGGAGATTGCTGGGTGCTGGCGGGGAATCCCCGGCTGGGACCCAGTGAATGACAGCCGAGGCCGCGAATGGCGGCGCGGACCCTACCCGGATGTGCAAAATCATGTATATATATATATATACAGTTGTGGCCAAAATTATTCAACCCCCAATGCTGTAAAGGGGTTTAGGGACTATAGTGTACATTTGGAATTGTATTCAGAATCAAATCCTACAAGGACGTTGTAACTACCCAAATGCAACTAAAATGACATCAATTGTTTATGTAATACAGTAGTAAATGGTTCTTATGTGGTTTCTTCATTGCCACAATTATTCAACCCTTAAAGACTACCACTCTGAAGAACAGAGGTTCATACAGGTGCTTTCCATCAGGTATTGAAAACACCTGTGGATGTCACCGAGCAGCACAAGCATAATAAGCACCAATTAGGCAGCTTTAAAATGACTGTGATACTCAGCTCCTTCTAGACATTTACTGGTGTGGTTACAAACATGGTGAAGGCAAGAGAATGGTCCAGGAAGACAAGAGAAGAGGTGATTTCTCTTCACAGGAAGGGCAATGGCTATAAGAAGATTGCAAAGATGTTAAACATACCAAGAGACACCTTAGGAAGCATCATTCGCAAATTCAAGGCAAAGGGCACTGTTGAAACGCTACCTGTCGTGGCAGAAAGAAGATGCTGACTTCGACTGCTGTGCGCTACCTGAAGCGTAGAGTGGAGAGAAGTCCCCGTGTGACTGCTGAGGAACTGAGAAAAGATTTGTCAGATGTGGGTACAGAAGTTTCAGCCCAGACAATAAGACGCACACTGCGTAATGAAGGCCTCCGTGCCAGAACTCCCAGGCGTAC